TTCAAAAATCAGTCGGAGAACACTTCAATCTCTCTGGTCACTCGATTACAGACCTAAAAGTGGCAATTCTTCAACAAAAAAACTTCAAAAACAGACTCCAACGAGAGACTGCTGAATTGGAATTAATTAGCAAACTGGATACAACTAACTTAGGCTTGAATAAAGACTGGGAGTGGATGGGTCATTACACAAAGTAAAACTATTTCCCCATGTTTATTCCTCCCCCCACCCCCCACTGTTCCTCAGATGTTCTTGTCAACTGCTGGAAATGGCCCACCTTGATTATCACTACAAAAAGCTTTTTCCCGCCCCCCCGCTCTCCTGCTGGTAATAGCTCACCTTACCTGATCACTCTCGTTACAGTGTATATGGTAACACCCATTGTTTCATGTTCTCTATGTATATAAATCTCCCCACTGTATTTTCCACTGAATGCATCCAATGAAGTGAGCTGTAGCTCACGAAAGCTTATGCTCAAATAAATTTGTTAGTCTCTAAGGTGCCACAAGTCCTCCTTTTCTTTTTGTGAATACAGACTAACACGGCTGTTACTCTGAAACCTGTCATTTTAACTTGTGTGGTTTACTGTCTCGCGGGGAAAACCCACTCACAGAGATTGCTTCTCATTCTGTCAAGCAAAGGAGGGTTGGTCCCACATTTAAGTGGCGGGGGTATCCCTCCAGCACCGATCTAGGGTATTAACTGAGGGCAAGCACTAGATGCCCCCTCCCCAGCCATGGCTGCCTGTAGTCCCTGATTGGCATCACTCCTCTTTTCTGAGTCAGCAGCAGTCTCAATACTAGAGAAAAGTTCGAAGGAAAGAGAAAATGAGATCCATGAAAGTTAGTCTGAAATGGCCCCTCCGTTCCCCTGGTTTTTAGCCAGCCCTGCCTAAAGCACTGAAAACTCTCTGCATACTGTGGGAATTAACAGCAGCTCCCTGCAGGGTGGGCCCAACGCGGAGTGTCTAATACTGCACATGGCAGGTCTCATGCATCACCCTAAAGAGCCTATGCAAAGGGAAAGGCTTACATAGATCTCTACTGAATATACAGTTCAGTGATTGGTACTGCTTTATGCCCATGTGTGTTGCTTTCCTTGGACAATGAACATCCATTCAACAAGGGCTTTTTGCCATCCATCCAGCCATAATTTTGGACTTTTTGATGATCCCTCCCAGAGTCCCTTCTGCAGTCCTGTCTAAACTGATTTGCCTAAGTGCTTATATAAGCCAAAGTATAACTAAGCCCATTTAATTGATCCTCTGTGAGGTTAGGAAACACCACGATCGCCATTTCATAGGTGTGGAGCTGAGGTACAGAGACATTCAGGGCCCGTCTACACTCCATCCGGCAGCAAGCCTCCCAGCGGGGGCCCAGAGACTCGCGCTGGTGAGGCTCACGTTGGTGCTCCAGAAATAGCTCTCTAGGCGGTGCTTTGATGTTGCAGTTCAGGCCGGAGCTTGGGCTCTCAAGCCCACCCCCGCCCCAGAGCATGTGCTCCAAACCGAGCTGCCATGTCTACACTGCTATGTTTAGGACCCGGGCTCGCTCCCAGATGCAGCACAGACATGCCCAGAATCAAGTGGCAGGACAGTGGCAAAGATGGCAACCTGGCTCCCAGTCCAGGGTTTTAACCACAACTGCCTCCCTCTATTCCTGTGGCAAAGGTTCTCTGTCCCCAGGTTTGGACCATTATTTGGGAAGTTCTCCATATGGAAAATTTGCGAATACGAAGTATGGTAAAAATGAGCACCATTTTTCTATCTGGCTTTCTTCTTCTTAATTGTGCTGAAATCTCACCAGCCAATTCATTGCACTTTGTACCGTACTGATTTCCTTTGTAACATTAATTCTTCTCTTTTATTTAGAGCTGCACACACTCTCCAATGCAGAGAGACGAATTTATCACTCAAGCCCTTAATGTGCTGCTTAAATGGGAGCTTGAGTTTTTCACAAAGTCACAAAGCTGCAAACTCATGGACCCTTCTTCTTTTTCAGGGTTCTCAGAAAAGAAAATGATGAAAACTTGTAGCCAATTGAGCCATGTCTGTTTGCATCGGTTGAAAACATGGCCCAGAGTTTCCGTTATACTTATATTACAGCTAGGGAGACTAAAATGCCATTAAACAAAGACCTCTGAGGCACTTTTAAAAATTTAATTTCCTTGGCCAATGAGCTTTTCAACACGGGTTTATGAGCTTTGTATAAGAAGCAGAGCAGAACTTGTTTCCAAGATTTCACCCTTAGGAAAATGCTGCTTTTATTGATACACTGCAAGTGAACAGACTCCTTTGTTCAAGAGTGACGGAATGTTACCTCCTTTTCCAAGGATATTATTGTAGGTCAAGGGACTGTTTAGCCATTAAGCTAGAGTGTTTCACATGTGTGATGACCATTTCCTAGGTTAATTTATTCAGTCCGCTTGGCCACATAGAGCACATTTAACGATTCAGGCATTGCAGCAACCTTCACCGTTCTCCTTTGGAAAAATTATGCTTTGTGCTCCTAAGTAAGGTTGGCTGAATGCTCATCAGGTTCAGAACTGCTGTATTCAAGATTCTCTTCAGAAGCACAAAGCTTTTCTCTAAAGTAGAGATCAGAAGCAGGATTCTCCCAATATCTATTTTGTTCTTGCCCAGTGGCAGGAGCATAATGACTTATGGCCACTCTTTTACTGATTGAAAACATAGTCTTAGACATGGCCAGTGAATTTGTTTCTGCTGGGCTAAAGAATTTGGACTTTACTAAGGGTATGTCTATATTTACCCCACTTGTTGGCAGTGTTCTCACTTTTATCCTTTTACGATCTTTGCTGCAAGAATATTCGTGACCTTGTTGTTACAGAAAGCGAGTTCTATAACCGAGGATGGTGGGAAATGAGGAAGTTAAGCCTGTACTAAGCGAGTTTGGCTGGAACCAAATTCATTTCATGAGGAAGAAAACCTACGGGCCAACATTTCCAGTGGGTGGCCTCCTTTTTCAGGGCCCAGTTTATTCTCAGGTAATTTGCTCCCGTATTTTGCATCTGCAGTTGGATTGTGGGTGCAAATCTCAGTACTTGTACCTTCACCTACCTGACTGTGAGCGTAAACTGGGCAGTTAGAGGCACATACTCAGACTGGCATCTGAAAATCTTTGGCTCAAAGTGAGTGTGTCTGGAGATCTGGGAGGTGTAAACTGTGCCCAGGCAGAGAGAGGCTAGGCTGCAGCCGTGTGAATGTTTATGCCTGTGCAGAGGGCCAGTAAAAGGCCTAGAAACCACTTCAGTCCCATTCAAGCCCACAAAACGCAGATTTCACTTATTATGAACACACTAATTAACTAAAGATAATCTCAACTCAACCTCTCCTGTCCCCAGCCTGCTCCGAAATGCTTTCCTTCCCGGAGTCCTTTTCAAAGTAGTTCATTTCGCTAGAGGAACCATTTTTGTGCTCCCTTCCCTCTGTCTGCTGTTACTTCATCTCTCTGTATTCATTATTATGTCATTCTCAGTAGTAGCCTCTCTCAGTAAGGACAAAATGCACGTGGGAGACATGTGCAAAACAGAACATGAATTACAGTGAAGTCGGGGCTGAAAGGTAATCTGACTCCAGTGCTTGATAATCAACCCCTTTGATTGGGCAAACTCCAAGCAACTGATGCTTGACTATCTGTCCTATGAGGTATATCAAATCTGGATACTCCCAGAGCAAGAGTGCTGAATTCCTCTAAGCAGATAGCAAAGTATTTGTTTTATTGGACAACAAAGTGGGTTCCATCGGCCCCTTCTTCTCTGTGCTGCTGTTTTCAGTATCAACTTCATCAAGTTCTTTGTATGCTACCCAGACACTGTAGGTATACAAAGAGCCACCTGGGTTTCAAAATAAACAGGCATGTCTATTGCAAATATCTTCACCAAGCACCTTAAGTTTACTTAAATAATTGCAAACTTCATGCAGCTAAAATATTTAGATACTGATCCAAAGTCTATTAAAGTCAGTGGAAAGATTCCCCTTCACTTCAATGGTCTTTGGATCTGGCCCTAAAATCTCACGTGCGCGTGTGTTAAAGCTACTCAAAGAGTTTGGGTTGCCATTGGCTATAAGCTTCCTCATGTTGCAAACATATGAAAGTTCTAATGCTAAATAGGTTTCTGTCAGACATCTGTGGGTTCATTCCAGCTGAGACACAACATCTGATCAAAATACAGGAACAATGAATGGCCCATTTGTTACCATACAGCATAAATATTTTTCTCCTGAGAAATCCGTGTAGAGACACATGTTCCCAGGCAATGTCCTCATTTAACACATCACCCCAATCAACAGAAAGCAGGAGTATGGCAGGAGAAAACTATATGATTAACCTGGGGACTCAGAATCCTCTTCCATTTTCCTTATTGGCATTAAACAGTCTATCCCAAAAAATAAAGGCTCGTGTATTCTTAAACACTCCATCCCCGTATTTCCCAAAAGCTTGTACAACCACGGATTATAACAGCGGTGGCCAACCTGGGGCTCCGGAGCCTCGTGCGGCTCTTCAGAAGTTAAGATGCGGCTCCTTGTCTGGGCACCGACCCCGGGGCTGGAGCTACAGGTGCCAACTTTCCCATGTGCCGGGGGATGCTCACTGCTCAACCCCTGGCTCTGCCCCAGGCCCTGCCCCCACTCCACCCCTTCCCGCCCCCTCCCCTGAGCCTGCCGTGCCCTCGCTCCTCCCCCTCCCCCCCAGAGCCTCCTGCACGCCACGAAACAGCTGATTGGGAGGTGCAGGGAGGTAGGGGGAGGCGCTGATCAGCAGGGCTGCCGGTGGGTGGGAGGCGCTGGGAGCAGGGGGTGGGGAGCTGATGGGGGGCTGCTGACGTATTGCTGTGGCTCTTTGGCAATGTCCATTGGTAAATTCTGGCTCCTTCTCAGGTTGAGGCTGGCCACCCCTGCATTATATCATGCCCTTCATAAAGCATTAATTCCCAGCATTGATGCTCTCCCTTAGGAATCACTGTATAGCCAGTGCACTCACCAGTACAGGCTTCAAAAGGTCTATATTAGCACGAAAGGCTTGTTCTGCTGTGTGGAGTTTTTCCTTAGGCATGGTGCAGAGGAAGGCTTCGCCGACCACTGCGACTACTGGGTTGTGGATTGTAAGGAATTCAGACAGCTCTGACCCATTGCACAGATCTCTCAGCTGCATTCGATAGCCAGACAGGATGACCTGGGAACAGTTGTGAAACAATACAAAATGCCATCAGTAAATCATTCTTGGCACTAAACTAGTATCACTGAGTCAGAAATGATCATTTGGCTACATCATGATTCACAACACTCAAGGTTAGAAGGGAGAGGGAATTTCTTCCTAAGGATTTCATGGTTCTTGGCCATGTATTACTCGGATTATGACAGAAGTGTGTGGCCCCCCTGAGTTCCATAAGAGAGTCCGACGGCTGAGATATCCCCAACACTCCAGGCAGAGCCATATAGTAGTAGACTCCCTACTCTATACCAACCTCAATATACGTGTGTCTGGGACCTGGGCCCCTCCAATGAAAGGTCTGTGCTCAAGCCTAAGAAGTGCGGCAAAAGCAAGGAAGAAAGACCCAAAGCCTAAACTCCTGAGATATATCATCTGTAAGGCACTTTCTCTCGCCTACAATTATTTGCGATCAGATTCCTCCTGCCTCACATACAGGTGCGGCAGTTGAGAGCATAAGAATCCTGCGGTTTGTGCTCCTTGGCCCGATCAAAAGCCCACCAAAGTTACTGCAAAGACTCCCACAGACTTTAATGGGTTTTGCATCAAGACCTCTGAGCACAAAGTGATGTGTGAGTGTGACTATGTGTGAGTGGGAAATCATAGCTTTGCCTGCAGCACAAGACACCCCCAATGGCCTATCCTCACCAGTGTGCAAAGGACATGAGATGGGGGAGATTGGTTCCTCCCTCTCTCTTCCTGACATGCTCACAAAGGAGCAGCCACAGCCTGGCGCTTGTAATTCTGCAATGTTTGGAACTGATCCTGAGCTACTGAAGTCAATGGGAACATTGCCACTGAGTTCAATGGACATTAGGCCAGATCCCTAACTCCTGTCCACAGACACCTCGTACTTTAAGTTAAGGACTCCTGTTTAATATCTGTAAAGGAAATGAATGAAAATCTCTGATCAAGCATCCAATACGTGGGTCTCTCATGGGAGGGACTGATCTCCAAATCCCTTCAACAGGTCATTATGGCACTGGGGTCCTTTGGATGTGCAATGGTAAGTGCTTAATGCAGGTGACAAACAAGAGAAGCTCTGTGACTCTATTTGGAATGTCACGGTTTGCTTTGTGAATTGTGGCAGGGCAACCAGATTTACACAACTAACAGTGGTGTTTCTCTCCATTTCTGCTTCTCTTGGTTTGCAACCGCTGGTATGCCTGGACTGGACGTCAGTCTGAATCAAAGGTGATCCCGAGGCGTCGGTCCGAGGGTCTTGCGGCAGCCTGTGGCACAACAAGCAATGCTTGTCTCAGTTTCCCTTCTGCAGACTCCCAAGCACGCAACTCCCTCTGCTGCTGCTGCTCCTGCCTTCAGCCCTCTCCAGTTCTGGCTCTCTGGTTTGGGGACACCAGTCAGCAAACCCCTCCTGCTGCTCCTCCTGCTGTCAGCCTTCTCTAAAGAACCAACTTCAGCTTCCTTCCAGGACTCCTCAGTGACCTGGTCTCTTTGGGGCCAGCCACACGGTGACAGAGTCTCACCAAAATCTCTTGTATCATGTGGAGCCAACGAAGTACAAGAACTTTCATATTTTTCAAGGCAAAAGCACATCAACCATCCAGTGGAGAGATGCCTATCTAAGGAAGGATGCAAATGGACTCAGAGTGATAGAACCTTAACTTCTGCCTACAGCTGCACTCCAGAAACAGGATGAAGCCAATCTTTGTTCTTTGCTGAGTAAATGGGATGTGTTTTGTGATCTGTGATGGTGGCACTTTACAAAATCAGCATCACCAGCACCACAGCAATATCAGAGAAGGACGGTCTGGTGGTAAAAGGCAGTGGACCCCACGGGATTCAGGAGATCTGGGTTTAGTTTCCAATTCTGGCACAGATTTTCTGTGTAACTTGGGGCACAACACTTATCACAACAATTGTATTAAACAAAAATTACAAGCAGACAGGACCAAAAAAACTCCCAGCCGCATGAAGTCACAACTTCATGAAAATTACAATCGGTCTGAAATTGTGGTGACTTCAAGTAGAAGCATAAATTATAAATGACAGGCTAATTCCCCCAAGGACTCTTAAAATGTCAAGATCATTTTTGTAGAAGTTGAATCATTGAATATCAGAGTTGGAAGGGTCCTCAGGAGATCATCTAGTCTAACCCCTTGCTCAAAGCAGGACCAATCCCCAATTTTTGCCCCAGATCCCTAAATGGCCCCCTCAAGGATTGAACTCACAACCCTGGGTTTAGTAGCCCAATGCTCAAACCACTGAGCTATCCCTCCCAAGTTTGGATGGGCTCTGAAAAACAAAACACGGGTCACGGCTCGAAGCAGGACCAATTCCCAGTTAAATCATCCCAGCCAGGGCTTTGTCAAGCCTGACCTTAAAAACCTCTAAGGAAGGAGATTCTACCACCTCCCTAGGTAACGCATTCCAGTGTTTCACCACCCTCTTAGTGAAAAAGTTTTTCCTAATATCCAATCTAAACCTCCCCCACTGCAGCTTGAAGTCACCATCCTTCAGGACATAAACTGATCAAGAACAGGGGTGAGAAGAAGGAAGAATTTTCCCTCAATGCTAGGCAGCTGTGTGGGCACTTGCATTACTGTGAGCATACGTTTTCCTCTGAAATCTGAAGCAACCAGCCCTGGCCAATGTCAGAAAGAGGAACATGAGCTAGGTAGGCCATTGATCTTTTGAAGCATGGTAAACCCAATGTTCTGAGCTTGACAAAGAAAACATCCTGTTATGTCAAGGACTCCAGTATTTGCACCTTCCTGTATTATGTGCAGCAGCTTTCACAGGTCTCAGCCAAAATCAGGTCACCATTGTACCAGGCACTCTTACGAATTTGGGTCCAATTTGGTGAATAGTTTCAGCCAAAAAAAATGATTTTTTTCCCACAAAAATCAAAATGCTTCATTTTGAACATTTCAAAACAACATGCTTTGACTTTTCTTTTCAAAACAGCATTCTGTTCAGAAATTTGGCTAATTTTTTAAACCAAAACAAAGGGTAAAAAGCACCCAAAAATTACCCAAAATGAAATGTCAAAAAAAAAAAATCACTTGGGGTCAAACTGAATCAATTTTTCTTCAGATCCTTTGAAAAAAAGTCAATTATTCACCTAGTTCCATGATGTTCTGTACAAGCACACTGCCCCTGTCACAAAGAGCTGACAATCCAAACAAAAGACAGACACAGGGTGGGAGAAAGGAACCCTCCTCTTCCCCATCGGACAGATGGGGAACTGAGGCAGGGAGAAATTAAGTGATTTGCCGAAGGTCACTCTGGCAGTCTGCAGCAGAGCTCCAGAGTCCCATTCCTGTGACTTACCCACGAAAGCATCTTTTCATTGTCATTGAAAAAGAAAAGTAAAATAGTCCAAACAATACTATTTGGATGTGTCTTTTCATTGGAAAGCAGGCCTTGAGAAATTCTCTTTGGCTTTTCAAGTGTTCTGTGCCTTTTAGGCATTTCCAGACTCTCTACATGGATTTTCAAGTCCTTTTACAGCCTTGCTGCAAACCAACCAAGATGAGATTGTAAGCTCTTTGGGGCAGGGGCCATCTTTTTGTATTGGTACGGCAACTAGCACAATGGGGCAAGGCTCCTAGATTCTACCACAATAAGAATAATAATGCTTGAAAGAGTTCCTCACCTGCTGGAAGTTGACCTCTGCATTCAGTATCTCATCCACAGCAAACAATGGCATGGAAACATTACGATGGAGAAAGTCTGAGAAGGTCTCATTGTCAACCAGGAAATCCTGAAGTTTCAAACCTGTTAGGTGAGAAGCAAGCGTCACTTGGTTTTATTTAGTGCAAACCCAAAAAGGAGAAAGAATGTGAAATCTTCAAACTAAAATAGCAAAACCTGGCTGAGGGGAAGGGGAAGGGACAACGACACAATGGAGGACACAAAAGGAAACCAGTAGCTGCTGCCGATGTGCTCTGAAATACAGCAGCTTGCAGAGATACGTCGGACCTGCCGTGTTTTTACACCAAAAATAGAATCTTTGAAAATAACCTCCCTCCAACACCTTCGCTAACACCTGCTTTGTTGCATTTAATCTGCCGCCAGGCACATGAGATGCAAGGGGAGCTCAATGGTTCAGAATAAACTGCTCTTCAGTTTTGGGGAAATTCACTCCAGCGCAGAAGGCTAGGCACAAGAGATTCACGACTCCACTTAAACTCTATTTTGTAGGCTTAAGCAGGACTGAACTGGTGTACAGGGCAATAAGAAACTTACTAAATCTTATATAAAAATGTTTGATCATTAATAATACAAATACTACTAATAATCATCAACATCATAACCTACCACAAGACATTTCCAGGCCAAGCACAGGCAGACACAAGTGTGCCTGGAGCCAGAGGTTACTTTATACAGATAACACAGGTAGATCTAGGCAGTAGTGTTGCCATCTCTCACATTTTTGGGGGATAAGTCTTATGATATTTGGTGTTTTTCTAAAAGCCCCAGCTCCTGGAATCATGTGATTAAATGAGAATCTCAGCTTTTTTTTTTTAGCAGAATCTTCATGGTTGAGGCAAAATGCTGGAAAATGTGACTCAAATGTGCCCTGAAGTCTTAGAAACCACAGAGTGAAGAACAGAACCACAACACTGATTCTTTTAAACCAATCACATGATTTTGGGGGCCTGACTCCAGGGCTTTTGAATGCTTGAGGTTGGCAATACAAAGGAATGCAGTTGAGGTGAAAGGTGCAAACGCTAAGCAGTGGAGAGTTGAGGGAAGAAAGAGATCTTGGGAGTCATTGTGGATAGTTCTCTGAAAACATCCACTCATTGTGCAGCAGCCGTCAAAAAAGTGAACAGAATGTTGGGAATCATTAGGAAAGGGACTGATAATAAGACAGAAAATATATTGCCTCTATATAAATCCATGGTACGCCCACATTTTGGATACTGTGTGCAGACCTGGTCGCCCTATCTCAAAAAAGATATGTTGGTATAGAGAAAAGAGCAACAAAAAGGATTAGGGGTATGGAACAGCTTCTATATGAGGAGAGATTAATAAAACTGGGACTTTTCAGCTTGGACAAGAGACAACTAAGGGGAGATATGATAGAGGCCTATAAAATCATGACTGGTGTGGAGAAAGTAAATAAGGAAGTGTTATTTACTCTTTCTCAGAACAGAAGAACTAGGGGTCACCAAATGAAATTAATAGGCAGCAGGTTTAAAACAAACAAAAGGAAGTATTTCTTCATACAATGTACAGTCCACCTGTGGAATTTGTTGCCAGAGGATGTTGTGAAGGCCAAGACTTTAACACGGTTCAAAAGAGAACTAGATAAGTTCATGGAGGATAGGTCCATCCATGGCTATTAGCCATGATGGGCAGGGATGGTGTCCCCAGCCTCTGTTTGTCATAAACTGGGAATAACCAACAGGGGATGGATCACTTGATCATTAACTGTTCTCTTCATTCCCTCTGGGGCCCCTGGCACTGGCCATTGTCAGAGGACAGGATACTGGGCTAGATGGACCTTTGGTCTGACCTGGTAGGGCTGTCTTTATGTTCTTATGAAAAGAATTGACACGGCTGACTCAGAGAAGATTCATAGGCATAGGCTAAGCTGATTAGGTAGATAACCTGATACTTTTTCTACTTAAGGAAGAGCAGAGTCACAAAACAAATTGGTAATTGATGGCAAAGAGGGAAAAAAAACCCACGTGCCAAGCCCTAATGCAATGGACTCCTAATAGCGTGTATTCCCTCCTGGCTGTACTGCTCATCCTGGAGGGAACAGCAGCCACTGTGGCACAGGGCTCTCATTCTTGTTTTAATCAGCTTGACTGCTTACAAGAAACACTCAGTGCCTTTCTGAGAAGGCATCGGAGTGAGCCTGCTGCAAATCTCCACAGCGCTGGGAGGGGATGGGGAGCAAGCCAGGGCGGCCACATGTCACAAGAACATGGAATCCCGCTCTCTGTATGCCTCTCAGTGTTTCTTTTGTGCCGCTCGGTCTCGACTTGGCAGGACACCAGTCTGATATAAGAATTATGAGGAGAGAGCGAGGGAAGAAAAGCAACACCCCCCATTCTCCTTGCAGCACGAGCGCGCTGGGGTTACTGTCGGTCATTGCTCTCTAGCCTACATCTCTGGTTACAAGTTCCCTGTAGCCTTTTTGTTCTACATGAAAAATAATCGCCACCATCAGCTGGGCTGAGGAAAGCTGGAGGTAATGTTGACAGGAGGTTACTTCAGGGTGAAAACTCTATTCCCCCCTCCTAGGCAGGATGATTTAATAACCTGCCCATTGATCATACTGTGAAAAAAAACCCTGACAGGCTCGTGCAAACAAACAGACTGAGTTTTCTTTTCAGCCAGCACTGGCACTAAGAAAAGCGGGCCAGATCCTCAGCTGGTGCAAATCAGCACAAGCCATTTACACTGATTCACACCAGCTGAGGGCTTTGCCCCCCAGAATCACTCAGATTCAAATAATCTCCTTCCTCCTGATTTCTGGCTACTTCCTAACTGCACTGCATTTGCTAAAGAATTGCTCTGTATATTTGGGTTTTGGTGAGATCATCAACAGCACTGAAATTCAAATGGACAAAGAGATTAGCTGGACAAAGAAACAGTGGCATTTAAAGATCAGACATTTGCAAGCTTTTTGATTTAGCCCAATTCTAAATGGAGTCTATTTTTCTAGTTGCTCTTAAAAGGCCACACATCTCATGGAAACCTTTTAATAAAATTTTATTGAACAATAATTCTCCTGCTCTTCCTGTATTTCCTCCTCCTCTGAGCTTTGCTGCTGCTCGGAAACAGGATCTTTGTTACTTAGGAACATTCTCTTTAGTTTGTCTAACTCCAAGTGTTTGGACAACTGCAGCAAAGCAACTTGCATCTTATTACAGGATGTAAAGAAGCTATTTTTGGATGCCCACTGCCCTGTCTGTAAAAATGATGTGGACTGCCAAGGAACGTCGTCTTCTTACTTGTCTATAAATTAACTAACACAGTGTCCCTCAGGTGTTTTCTTTCCTCATTATCAGCCAGCATTTTCAGAAGTGCACAGCACTACATCTGGCTGAAATTCCCAGGCATGTTTCTACATTTGTTTTCATCCCAATTCGTGAAAAAAAGTCAAAGTTTTTCACCAAATGGAAAATTTGAAAAAATTTTGATTCAGAAATGCCAAAACATTTTGTTTCAGGTTGGCGCAACATTAATCTTTGTCCCACAAGCAACTGTGCTGACATGCCTGAGGTCCCACAGAAAGCCTGTGGCAAAGCAATGACTTGTCTTGACCTCAAGTCCAGTGCCTGAACCAAAAGGCCAACCTCTTTCTTGGTGAGCTCACCCCGTCTCTCGTCCTTTTTCCATCAGGACAGACTGAGCCACCCCAGAGTCCCCACTCTTCAAATCACAGAGGCCCACACACTGACTTGCCCCTGAAGCCAGTCACAGGTGGGGAGGGGAGCAGAGCAGTGCAATCAATCTGACCTTCAGCACTGCACAGTCTAAGTGTATGTCTACACTACAGACCTTACAGCAGCATAGCTATACCGACGCAGCTGTGCCCCCGTAAGATCTCCCGTGTAGCTGCTCTATGCCAAAGGGACAGAACTCTCCCGTCGACACAATTAAACAATCCTCAATGAGCAGCGGTAGCCGACACAGCGCTGTCCACACCGGCGCTTCTGTGGGGGTAACTTATGTTGCTTGGGGGGGGCGTGTTTTTCACACATCTGAGCAATATAAATTATACTGACAAAAATGCTAGCGTAGACATAGCCTTAGAAGGCGAGGCTTTTTTAAAGGCATCCCTTTCAAAACACGCATCATTCTGTCCAAGGCTATTTACCCACCAGAGCATAACACAACCAATGCGAACAATGCAAGACTGTTAGCTCAAAACTGCCACAATGCCCGCAAACAACACAGTCATAGTTCCTGAATACGCTAACAACATGCTAAGTAATGGAACATACATGCTGGAATTACAGCGTAATCACCAAAATGCATCCCTGCCATTAAAGAAATTCTTCACACCCTGTTGGGATGATCTATGTTCTACTGAGATGGAACAGCCCACCCCCTTCGTCCTGCCCTTTGCAGCCAACAGAACCAGAGGAGTTCAGTACCATAGTACTGTTTGTGCTTCTGACAAACTAGGCAGCAGATCAGGCCCTTCTGGCTGAAATGTATAAAATAAATAAATAAAATGAGAGATGAGCCCTAATCATGAATCTGGATCTGGGTTTGGATGTAGGCTCAGCTGGTGTCAATCAATTTAACGCCACTGAAGTCAATAGAGCTTTGCTGATTTACACCAGCTGAGGATCCAGCCTAACATCTGAAAGGAGCTCCTCTCCCTACTGTACAGCCAGCTTTGCTTTTTAATTCTCAGTCTAACCCACACTAAGGCCTAGATCTTGCAAGGACCTGTGTTGAGCTCAGGACTTGAGGCTAGCTCCCTGCTGCTCTTTGTTAATTAAAAGGTTTGAAGAAAACAAGGCAGCCAGTCAGTCCATGTGCCATGACTGCATCTTCAGCAACTGCAGAGACTCTTCTAGTGGGACATTCAAGACAGAAAACAATTATGTTATTTTCTGTGCTTCCTTTGCTATTACTGAATTGATCGGCTTCTGGCTGAACTTCCATTTCTCCCACCTCAGCCATTCCTTCCCCTTGATCCTGAAGTGCAGTCATAACCCTTCATTTATTATCTCAGAGGCTGCTAATATAAACGTGATTGTGTTGCCATAAAAACAGCATTATTGCAAGACCACGTGGCA